TGTTCACCAGTGAGTTTCAGCAAATAAAAAAAATCTACATTGAGTGGTTCAACTTTAGACTTACACATTAACAAGAAGGTTGGAAGTGTCTGAATAATCTACCAACTCAACTACACAACATAAATGATAAGTATAAAGACTCAAAATGTTCAACAACTACTATAATTAAAGCAATGCATCACTATATATATACACACATGGAAGTCAGAACCAACTAGTGCAAAAACTTGTTTTGTAAAACAAGCTCTCTCTTAAAATAACTTGAATAATTAGAATTAAGCTTCAGAAAACTCTAGATTTGGTCTTTGAAAAAGCACTTGCTACATCATTTTGCTTGAGTGATTCTACACAAGTGTCCTTTCAAAAACTGAAGTCCTCAGTTCCAGTGATACTGGATCTAAGATTTTGCTCTGGTCTACACTGGAGAAAGCAAGGGCTGCATCCTGAATTCAGAATTCAGCAGAGTTCACATGTCTGAATCTGACTTTTTTTTTCTGATTCATATTAGGCTATACCTATAAAACATCATGCTTCAAAGGTTCACAAAATACCACTCAAAAGAATCTCCAAGCAAAACATCAGCAGAAGTGCTCAGCACTTACTTGACCTGCAGGGTGCATATTCCACAGATTTAGATCCCGCAAGCAGGTAACAAGTTCCTACAGGCTCCCTCTCTTGTTTTGTTTCAGTTCTCCAGTGGTACAACGGGGCACAGGCCTAAGAAAGAACATAAGGCACTGAGAAAACAAATTCCTCTTTAAAAAGCTGGCTGGTACAGAATAATATTCAACAGGACAGTAATGAAAAAAAATTGGCAGATGTACAACGTATTTTTAGAGGAGATTTATACTATCAGCACTGGGGCATAAATAACCTCCAGTTCGTAGTTTTTTAAATAGTTTATTTATGTCAAGACTTACAGAAAGAATATTCTCTTAAAGCAACAGTTCTAAAGAGTTCATCAAGAATTAATAACAGATTCTAACTTCAGCCAACTAACCCTACTACTTTCCTCAAAACCTGACAAAAATGCTACATTTCTTTATGAAGAGCTACCAAAAGGCTAGCCAGTAAAATCTGAAAAAGACAGATCTTGTTGATTAGTGGGATTTGGTTTAAACTCTGAGTTATGCGGATCTTTTCACATTTTTTTCCACTACAGTAATCCCAGTACTGAGGCATTTGAGAAGGGCATAAAGCAAGAAAAAAAAACCTACCAGAATTTTATCGTTTTGAGATCTCACAGAGGCTCCAAACCACTGATGAGACTTAAATTCCAGCGGATCATCAGGAGCAAAATCTCTGTTGCCTACAGAGAAAACAAAAAGGCAGCATAATTTCAAAGGAAACTGTACAGTGAGAACAATAAAGAAGAAAACTAAGTCTTTGGTTTTGACACATCAAGAGAAGAGCAGAAACCAGCAACACTGGAGGGTAGCATCCTTGAACAGAAATAGGCTTTAAAAAGGATTTGTTACTATTTTTACATCTAGGGCCAAATGCAGCTATTTTTATATACAAAGCATTAGCACAATAGTGATTTGCTCAAAGTTTCTATCGACAGTGACACAGTAAATACCTCATTCTTGAGATATTTGACTTTCAAGGCAGATTACAGCACTGCTCAGGAATCACTGCCAAAGCCAAGTCAGGACTCATGGCTCTAGAAGAAACACTGCTCTGATTCAATTATGTGACTTTTGCCTTTGGCTAGAATCAGGACAGAAATTCTTCTAATATTCTACCCATTGTTAGCATCTCTGTTCTGAACATCACTGCAGTGCACAAAGCATGGCAACCAGCCTGCTTAACAGCTACAAGTGAAAGGGTATTCAGCAAGAAAAACGTGTGGGAGTTTGCCATGCAGCCAAGTTAAATAAAGGATAATTTGCACTGGTGTCTGTGTGTCAACTCTGTAGTGATGAAGGTTGGCAGAAGGATCTTAATTAGTAGTATTTCTGCGAGTGTGATGTTAAAAACCTTCAAGCCATTCAATGTTTCTCATGTACTTACATTGAAACAACAATGGAAACTTCCCCAGCCTAATTAAAAAATGGATGTAACACTCTGGAAAAGAACTTTTTAAAGTCACCTAAATCCCTGGTTCAGAGCACCCAAAGCTAAAGGAGTCAAAGAGCCATACAGCAGCCAACAGGCAGACATCACTTCACAGACTGCTGAGGGGAATCCCCAGACCCAACCCCACTATGAATCAGAGACCTGTGACCACTCCTGAACCAAAACTTCCTTGTTTGTCTTATACCTTCTAAGGAGTGTTTTGTCTCGAAAGACTCTGTTATTTCCATTAGGAAAAGCCCATGAAAAGGACAACAAAAGTCATTCTAATTTGCTGAGTCAGCCAAAACAAACAAGTATCTGGCCCACTGTGCTATTTAGAAATCAATGCCAAGTGCACAGTATCGTAGAGAACAACTTGGTTTTTTTCTCATTTTAAATGTCATTAAAAACCCCACTTTCTTCTATCACCCTCTCTGCCACTTTCTTATTGAACAGGCACTAAAGAGATGGAGGGCCTGGTAATTAACACAGATTTATGGACTCTTGAACATTTCTACTGTCACCCTTGCACAGACAGAAATGTAGCTTGGAGACCTGCATGTCACCTCACAGAACAGAAAACCAGAGAATTTTCCAAATAGTGAATTTTCTTCAGCATGTTAAACCCCTTGTTTTGTCATCTTTTCCCTTCCTTGCCTTCAATTCATTAAAATCCACTCAAGGAGAGTTTAGCTTGAAGGACGCAGTTGCATGACTGAGTTAAGTCTCAGATGAAGCTGCCACCAAAAGGGGTGTCAGCTCCTATTTGTTCCTGTCTATATGTTCTTGCTGCCAGTCTCTGTCTTAGCACTAGTCACATAGTCACCACATTATGGTCACATAGTCACCACATGAGCCATCCAGGGATGAACCCTACTTAGAAAATATTCAACTGGATCAGGAACCAACCCAACCTACTGCATGGAGAGGGCAGGGGTGCTGACCTGCTGGGGAGAAGACATCAACATATGGCTGGGAAATACATCCTTTATGATGGCATCACAGAGTTAAAACTGGTTTGCTCTGCTTGTAACCACACCCAAGATTAGCAAAACACCACAGCCTAGACAGACACGTTTTGCTTCTCTTTGTCCAGCTACTCTCTAATACCAAGAAATCTCTCAGCTTTACTTGCCACGCAAAGCTTTAAACAATATAAAACCTGGGAATAGTTATGACATAGCATTTTACAGCTCTCTCTACTATTGGATAATTACACAATGCTTTTTATCTATAACTAAAATGAAAGACAGTTCTAAAGTGTAAAGCAAATCCTATTACAGTTGGTACTATAAAAATGTCTGTGATGGAAACCATGTAAGCTTAAAACAACAGGCAACAAGTAGAAGGAGTTGTCTTGCTGCAATAGCAGGTAAAAAACCATTCAGTGTTATAAGCAATCTGATTTTATCACTGATGTCAAGGAAATTACTTCCTTCAAGTTGAAGCTGAAGGTATCAGCTAGACAGCATAAAGCAATACAAAAAACAACAACAACAAAAAAAACAACCAACAAAAAATCCTCTGGTTACTGGTGCCATCTACCCACAGGTGTTGACTGCAGTGGAAAAGATAAAAAACAGTAGTTTAACCAGCACATGCTAAAAACACAGCCCCTTTTCTGTGCATTCTTGAGCTGCGGGTGCTGCCCTCACCCAAGGAAGAACCAACATCCAGGATGGCAGCTTCAAAAACTTCTCTCCACCTCAGTCTTTAGGGAACAAAACAACTTTTTTCTACACTACTCAAACAAGCCCCAATTCAGTTGTAAAATGAAAACAACACTGGAAACCTCTCTTCCATTTTATTTTAAGAGGTAAACATCTGTACTAGGAGATATAGTCAGAAACTGGCTTATAAAAACTAAAATCTCTACATCAGAAAGCAAATGGACACAACCCCAAGATTATGCCCCAAAGGTCATGACTGCAGAAGCCAGCACAACTTCAGAAGTCCTTAACAACAAATTTGTAATTCTTAAGTATAAAAACCCACTACATAGTAAAATGTGCTCCATCAGGCAACTTGGCTAAAGGAAGTTTATTTATAATATAGTAGTATTGCAAAAATATTTTACAAACATCTAAGCTAGCCAGTCTCATGCCAATGCAGATGCACATACCATAAAACAACATCTCAAACAAGGTTAAGATGCCTTACATGGAGTTTATCCTGTATTAAAAGCTTCAATAAACTGCCTAAAACTAAAGGGGGTCTTAAGGAGAGAGGTTCACTGGCCAGCTTTAGCATGGCTGTACCACAGGAAATTGCATTAATACCAAAACTAGATCAAGCAGAAGGTGTATGCACATTGGAAACACAGGCTGGTCAAATAAAAACTGGTGATCATTAAATATAGGTTAAATCTGATGTTAACTCTATTAAAGAAAAAGTAACATTTATTTAGCCATCCATATTCCAAAATGTCCCCATGAAAACACTGTGTAAATAGATTGAGAGCCTTGACCTCAAGTCCAGAAGAGAAACTATTTTTGTAATGAGTTATGGAAAACACCTTGTCATCAAAAATCCCTCTGCTGTAAATGAGAAACTATTTGTGGTTTTGTTCCTGACTGGGGATGAAAAGAAGGATCACTTAAAAGCAAGCTCTTACTGAAACAAATCAGACTTAAATAAAGTGTTTTAGCTTTACTGTAGATTTATCATGATAAGACAGAGGAATGACTTCAGCACTTTTGTTTTAGTCTGAAGACCCTGACTATTTTAACTGTTCAGTAGTAGTTTAAAAAAAATCAACTTCAAAAGCCTTCCCAACATAGCCTTTAAAAAAACCAACCCAAAACCACAAACAGTACCTACATGAAATGAAGCCAACTGTCATACAGGTGGAATTTAAACATACTGGGATCTATAAATCCAAACCAATGTTTTGATGCAATATGGTCAGCCTAACTGCTGTAACAGTTCTTACAGCCACTGCTGTTTTTCTTTTATTTCTACATTCATTTTGATTTAGCATTTCAGGAACACCTTGGTCTTTAAACCAATTACACACATTTTAAACAGTCATTTAAAAATACAGCTAGGCAATAATGAACTATGTTCTGGCTAGATTTATTGAAGGAGACATTCATATTTTTTACACAATGATATTTGTCAGACTAAAATGCAGCAGCTACATCAACTCTACTTGATGGGTCATTAATTCCAGGATTATGTTATTTGACCACAGGCTATTACTGTTTATCTGTAAATGCTGGTTATGGTTTTTCCTTTGCTCCTTCTCACTGTAGTAGACATCACATGATTTTGCAGTACTCTTTCATAAGGGAAAAAGGGCTGATGTGCCAAGTCAACAGTGCTTTGTCTCAAAGTACTTTTCAGGTGGTGCAATGAGGTTAGCAAGGCAGGAATAGAAGTGTTCTTAAAAAAGCCCATCACAGAATTGTGGTGTTGCTGCTGGACCACCTGGACATTGTCACTTCACTGTATTACATAAAATTTAAATTTATAAATGGAAACTAACATGGGGGGATGCTGATTAGAAATCACAGTCTAGATTATGTTCCAAATAATAGCAAAAAGACCAGAAGTTCTCACTTTAAGTGAGCACTTGCACTGCAGAATTTCTTTTGGCTCTCAGCTTTGGACAGTTGGCGCCTTCTTTTTCCAGTGTAAATGTTATCAGTTACAGAAACAATGGTGTTAGTACAAAATGACTGCAGCTGAGTAAGCAGATCCAGTTGTAACTTGTAGCCTGCCCATTTGCTTGGGAATGACAAATCTGAACTAGAACAGTTGCCTTTGAGCTTGAATGCCAGACTTAACTGAGATAATTCTGAGTCAAGAGGCAGTGAACTGATGAAGCCTGGTTCAGTGACCTCATACTGTGAATACCTAAGTTGTGAAATTTAAATAAGTCATCCAATTCACAGAATTTAAATTAAAATCAACTTCTCTGGAACTACGTCAATTTAACATAAAATATACTGCCCCTTCTAAGTAAAGGTAAAGTTTATGCAACTAGCCACAAGTAAGGCAATCTTAAAAAATTTAGAAGAGCTGTCTTTTCAGAAGATGAGAACTGTAGGTGGTACAAAGCTAGGAGCCTTCCATCCAAAATCCCAGCTATTCAGCTGCAGGAAATGAGGCAAGAGCAAGTGAGTAGGAGCCTATCTTAATTTGAAACTCCCCGTGCTGTGAGGCAGACAATGGTTTAGCAACCTTCGTTTAGCCACACTGTTTTGTTAATGACTCAGGGAGACAGGAATACAGAGCTTCCCACTACTC